TGTTTAGTCAGACAACCTAATCACATTGTAAATCACCGATTTTATGCATTTGTATTAAAGAATCTGTCTATGTAACTGTCAACAAAATAAACAGCAGAACGCAGACTGCTTGCAGAGGGAGGGAGCCAATGACCTGTAACAGTGGCAGTGTTGGGTCATAAAGGTAAATGCACGTGCAGTTCATGATAGTTACCTGTGCACTGCACAGTGATAGACCGTTTGGATCATTCACATTGACTACTTCTAGCTGTCATCATGAAAGCTTATTCAGATGATGCTAAACGTTTAATTAGAAATGTGTTGAATTTTTTTAAAAAAGAGAGCAAACGTAGCAAACCGATTTATAAGGTGTCGGATTACATGAAACGTACAACGTTTGCTCTTGGCATGAAAAAGAGCATCGTGCTAAAAATTGTGAAAAATAAACCAACAACCAATAAACAAAACCTTGTACAAAAAGGTAGGCATCCAAAGTTAGATTCTTTTGACATCAGGGTCATCAGAGATGTCATTCGCCGGCTATTTGCTAGAAATGAACACCTGTCCACAAGAAAGTTAAAACACATCCTTGCTGAGGATCACGACATTAATGTTTCTAGGTTTATGCTAAGCAAACTACTGCTCAAATTTGGATACAAGTACAAGAAGGTAGCAAACCAGAAACTTGTTATGTGTGAGAGATCTGATATTGTGAAAATAAGGTGTAACTATCTGAGAGAAATTAAGCAGGCAAGAGAGGATGGGTTCGAACCCATATATCTGGATGAGACTTGGGTCAATGCACACCATAGTGCTGCCAGACAGTGGCTACCCACTGATCCCAGTGATGGTAGGAAAATACCAACAGGCAAAGGTAAACGTTTAATCGTTCTTCATGCTGGTTCCCACCGTGGATTCCTACCTGGGTGTGATCTGGTATTTCGGTCAAAGAGCACAGATGCCAGCGACTATCATACAGAAATGAACTCAACGGTTTTCACACAGTATGTTGAGGAACAATTGTTGCCAGCTCTGCCTTACAAAAGTCTTGTTGTCATGGACAATGCTCCCTATCACAGTGTTCGAGATCCAAACAATAGGTGCCCAACTTCCAATACAAAGAAGTCAGATATGCAGCAATGGCTAACAAATAACAATAAAAAAAATCAATTAAGGCCACTAAACCACAGTTGTACTCTTTGATTAAACCTAACAAACCTCCACCCACATATAACATTGACAACATGCTACGCCAACACGGCCATAAGGTCTTGAGATTACCACCGTACCACTGTGATCTCAACCCAATCGAACTTATCTGGGGCCCGGAAAAATCAATCATTCAAGTTGAATGATGTCAAGCACATTGTCAACACTGGTATATGTGACATTGACATTGCACGCTGGCATGCATGTGTTGAACATATCAAGAAGGTGGAGAAAAGTTACTGGCTCAAAGATGGCTTGAAGGAGCAAACAGTTAATCCAGTTGTCATTCGTCTGGACACTGATGACTCCTCTGTGGAAGAATGGAGTGAACTTGATAAAGTTTAATTCTGTTATTATATTTACAGATAATAATAGTATCCAGCCAGATATGCTGAAAGAAATATAACTTCTTTTAACAATGACAGCACTGACTAATTCCAACGACTTATAGTGTAACATAAACACTCATTTCACATAAAATTATCATGAAAATATAAAATATTAACTATCTATATGCTTAAAGCTATTAGAAATGCATTGCTTAATTTGGAATGTGAACGATATCAAAACATAACACTTTTGTCTTCATTCTACCTTTTCTTCAATGAGTGTGCATGATTGTGTGTGCTTGTGTCCGAGGGAACGGGGCTTTAACAGTTGTTGAGTTCTAACCACAGGTGGTCCGATTAATGATTTAGTGTAAATATACTTTCTGTGTTCTTAAAATGCATTTCCACTTAGTACTGCATAAACAAAAGATGACATTAACATTACAAATTTAAATAATTCTCACTAATGGGTTTTGTGGTTAATGTTGAACAACTCAGGGAAACAAACTCCGTATGATGGTTAACAGTTGGCACCCACCTTACCCTATTCACGACCTGTGACACCTCTTCATACCTGTCATATGAGTTACTATTACATGGCAATGCAGATCTGACTGTTCACATAAATCAAAACATATTTAAAATTGTTCAAACATATATTTGTCATTCAAAACGATTTTCTTAATTGTTGCAATTGTTCCTCTTTTTCCCATATTTCTGTTCTTTTCTTCTCTGTCCATCTTGTAGAATGAATGTAAATAATATTATGTAAATACTATGGAGAGGGTGTTCTAAGTTGTATAACTTGTACCCAATCCTTTTCTCATGAATAAAATATGTTTAAAACAAACCTGTCACGTGCATAGCTGACCTACATTGACGAACGTTGACCTTTATGACCCAACACTGCCGCTGTTACAGGTCATTGGCTCCCTCCCTCTGCAAGCAGTCTGCGTTCTGCTGTTTATTTTGTTGACAGTTACATAGACAGATTCTTTAATACAAATGCATAAAATCGGTGATTTACAATGTGATTAGGTTGTCTGACAAAACACCCACTTGCACAGTTTGATGAAGAGATATTTACAAAAAAACGGGTCCACATGCATTTCATGCCAAACTATAGTGTACTTTTGGAAGATCTGTCTTTTGGGAGTGAACCGTTCTCAGTGTTTATTTCTAACGGTTCTTCAGCCCCTAAAATATGTCTCCGATCACGATCAAACGAACACCTGTAAAAAGAAGTCTGATCTAACAGAGTAGAGCAGCTTGACTTATGACAAAAAGATACTTGACCGGAACTACCCGATCTGGAGAAAATTGGGTTTTTTTCGCGGATTACTGGAACTTATGAATTTATTAAATATAGCCAGTACGTTCAGCTCATCATCATCAGAAGCCGCAGCAGAATAACGTCAGTACAAAATCAACATTGCCCTTAAAATCTTACTAGCCAAACTAAGTGTCGACCTGACCAGTCATTAGCAGTAAGACCCGTGAAGGCCTAGCAATGCCCGGCGATGGGTACGCGCGGGAAGGCCAAGGAACAAGGAATGACGGAGGAGGCAATCAGCGCTGGTTAGCAGCAACCCCTTATTACCTCAATACCCCACGGAATCATGAGAATTGTGCTTTCTAAATAAACACGATATGACAAACAAGCTACCTTCTGGACCACCGGGGGAGATGAATGTAGCAAACTATTGCCTAAAATATAAGCTAAGCCAAGGTAACAATAAATTTACAGCCCAATGAACAATTCGTAAGGTGGCAAAATAACCATAAAATAAAGAAGAACCACCTCCCTGGCATTAGATAATCACGCTACTGTGCGGAAATCAAAGTCTCTAAAACATCTTTAATACTGGAATACTTTTGCCTTCTCATACGAGATAAGCAATACCAAATCGACGCATAATGAAAGTATGAGATTAAACGGCGTAATTCATCGACATCAAACCCCCAGTCAGGCCCTTAAGAGCATCATAATGACTATAGTCCGTTTGGCGCAAAATCGGTCAGATGAATTGCAATCTAACTGGACTACTACCAGACATATAATACCCAATGAAACACAGATCATATTTTCATGTTAATATTACACACTTAAACTTCATTCTGGTGTTGTGTCTATTATCAATGCAACTCACGCTGCACGTGCTGTTCACAAGGACCAGCCCTATAAAATGCACCCCCAAACCTGGTTGAAACATTCACATTACAACGTCAGCAGGATGCCGCGACTCACGGCAGCTCAGAGGAACCAGGCGCTAGGAAGACTTGAAGCTCGCCACACTGCACAAGCCGTTGCCAAACACTTCCAGGCCAACGTTCGGACCATCTACAGGTCTGCAGGAACGTTTCCGGGCCACCAACACCACAAATGATCGCCCCCGTACTGACAGACCAAGGGTGACCACAAGACAAGACCGCCATGCTGTGCGACAGCATGTTCAGAATCCCTTCATGCAGGCATCCAAAACAGCACGCCAGACAGTTGGAACACACGGAACACCAATCAGTAATGATACAGTACGCCGACGTCTTAACAGCGTAGACCTTACCGTGGACCTATCCTCACCCCTCGTCATCAGCGTGAACGTCTACAGTTTGCCCTACAACAGCAAAACTGGCGGTACAGGCAATGGATAACTGTTCTGTTCACAGATGAGAGTCGGTACTGCGTATCAACTGCAGAAGGTAGAACAAGAATATGGCGACGACGTGGCCAGCGTTACTCAGACCAATGTGTCATGGAAAGAGACTCTTGGGGAGGTGCAAGCATCATGGTATGGGATGGAATAGGCCTGAACCAGAGAGTGGGTCCTGTGGTGTTCCAGAACCTTGGTCCAGGGAGAGGAGACGACATCAAAACGGTGCGCTAGATCGACCAAGCTCTCAGACCCCACGTCGTACCACATTTGGCACGTCACCGGAACAACATTTTCCAGCATGATAACGCCCAGGCCCATACTGACATGGCTACATGGGACTTCCTAGAGCAGAACGGTGTTCAATTATGCCGTGGCCAGCCCTTAGTCCTGATTTTTACCCAGTTGAACTTCTTTGGGATGAAATTCAGAGGTGAGTGAATAATGTCATGCCAAGGCTGAACACAGCCGATTTATTGCGCCAGGCCTTTCTCAGAGTGTGGTTCCAGGTGCCAATGGCCTTCATCAATCGATTGTTGCACTCCATGCATAGACGCTGTGCTGCAGTTATTGCCACTCGTGGTGGTCACACTAGATACTGAAGTCAAGTGTCTGAATGGACTGCAAACGTTCACGCAATGTCTTGAAATTTTGCTGAGTTATTCATTGATGTGTCAAGATATTGTACACAAAAATATTTTTGATCCGCTTATTATGTCCATTTCTGTAATGATTTGATTACAGTGCCTATCTAAGTTTGAATTCGTACTGACGTTTTTATTTGCTGCTGAGTATATCATCTAAAGAAGTAATACGGATAGAGAAAAAGGAATACGGTTATCGAATTAGTTTATTTATTTTGGCTTTATAGACCAATTCGCCCCTTTGAGAAAGTAATCTTGTCCCTAGAACGCATCTTTCTCGCATATGTAGAAGAAGTCATAGGTACTTCGTGCATCCTCCCACTTGTAAGATGACCTGTACGTAGTAATAAATGCTTTACATGTGCCATCTTTCATACAGTTCGGTTCCCCTGACGGAAAGTCAGTGAAGCCAACATCTGTGCCGTCAGCCCACACGTATTTGCTGCTTGCATACAACATCCCCATCCAGAAATATTCAGAATTCTGCTGGTTAGGCGGGAAGTCTGAAATTACATTTAAATGATCACAATATATCATATTTAACAAATATGTTTATGTGTGTTTCATCAATGTATCAGCTCTTCAAACGAGAATGTCTTAAAGTTTCATTATTGCAGATTTGGGTTCATATTGTGGTTCTAGCACCAATTAACTGAAAATTCTTCTTTTTCAGGCACTGTACTGGGACATTCAAACCCCAGATAAGCACATCATAGCGGCGCAACAGGTTTTACCTTAACGTACAGAAATGTGGCAACTCTGACAAATGGCGCCTTCTCGGTATCAGAAAAATGGCAAAGGATTACAAAGGTTTTATGGCCCTTGAAGAATTTTTTTTTTAAAATTCTCCTCTTTTGTCAAAATCCATCAAAAAGGGGCTAATGGGTCGAACTGTTGTAGCGGGTTTTGTCGGTAAAACAATGATACGTAGACATGTTTTTGCCATACAGAACAAACGAAAGCACATCTTCTATTGCATTGGATTTGACGTCCGTACTTACATTCCTTTACTTTCTCCAGCAGAAAGTCGTTCTCAGCTTCCGTATTGATAGAGACGAGATCAGCACCAAGCCCACGGCATCTACTTCTTGCAGTACCCCAACTGGTTTTGTCCAGCTCCAGTATGTAACAGTGGTCTTCAAATTTTACATAGCCAGCAGCACACACCTCTACAAAATGGAACAAAGTTCATATGAAGATTCACACAGCAATTTCATTCACTTTGTGACAACAAAACAGATAAATATGTTTGGAGAGAGCAGATGGAGGAGCTTAAAGGTAGAAATTTATGTCAGAATGTGAATGACTGAAATATAATCGCATGTCGTCTCAGTGTTAATTAAATCGCACAATGATGCATACATAGCTCAGTATCAACAGGATCGCAATTCCAGTTCATCAACCGTGATGCTCTTTGCATTCGCAGTGGTATATTTCAGTCATAATTGAAGCCTTTCCAGATATAATAATACATAACACAATGTACCATCTGCTGTTCTCATACCATGTAATAGATCCAGGTTTACAAGGATCAAGTATGTTCACTGTAACATTCTACCTATTTGCTTAAACACGAACATCTTATTGTACATATGATCATTTCGATGACATGTTTAAATGCTGAACACACAATATATACTTTACTTGGGGGTTTTTCTGTAGTCGTCGTAGTGGTGGTGGTGGTGGTGGAGGTTGTTGTGTTTGCGGCTGTGATGGGGATTGTTGAAATCACAGTGCATTGTGAGAGAGCAGCCTCAAGTTTCTGAACTCCCACATAGGACACATCAACCTTCTCCTCCATCACCCGCTGGCGTGCTCTCTCCAGAAGAATCTCCTTCTTGAGGAGCTCAAGTTGTTTGAACTCATTTTTAAATTCCTCTTTTATCTCTTCCTTCAACTCATTTATCACTTCCGACCGAACGCGTTTTGCGTTCTCCTTTAACTTCAGAATACACGTATCTGTGTCGTTTTCTTTATCCTCTACGGCATGAAGCTTCACTATCATCATCAGGTATAAAACTGCAGCTACAGCGTGAAGCTTAGCTCTGTCCATCGTGACTACTCCGTGTCTGTGTGATATCTGGACTTAGCCTGGGTCTAAATGTCACTTTGATTGTAAGCCATTATGAGGGAGGGACATATCTAATGACAGGAAGTAGTAAATTCGTTAAACGATACCACAGCACCTATCTAGCTTATTATCCAACATATGTTATATGTGGGTTCACACTTTCTTAGTAAAGGGGGCGGTGGGGTAGCCTAATGGACCCGGGTTAGATTCCCCACATGGGTACAATGTGTGAAGCCCATTTCTGGTGTCCCCCGCCGTGATATTGCTTGAATATTGCTAAAGGCGTAAAACCATGCTCACTCACTCACTCACTCACGTAGTAAAGGACAGATTCTGGTACTAGTTCCGTCGAATCTTGCTCAGTTAATTACAACATTTTTGCATTAAATACATTAGTAAAGCTGGTAAAAAGTTTCCAAATTTGATGCATCAGTGACGAAAATGACGACGTATGTAGTCCATTATTTTTACTTGTTCCATGCTTTCCAGTGAACGACCAACCTTTGTTTGTGTTTATGAAGCATGCCATCGCTGGGGCAGGATACGATCACCTTTTAGCGATCACCTCCTATCATCACTTTTTCATTGTGATCCATTTGCACATGCTCATGATATAGTCGGAATAGTACAGTAGACGTAGACACTGCTTTTAGAGATGTTCATTGGATGTTCAAAGGGTTTTATCTCCTTTATTTTTATACAATGCTGGAAAGGAGTTAAAATGGGTCTTTCTGAATACATGATTACTGTTCAGACATTTTCCAGATTTGTCTGTCGCGTCTGATGCGTGAGTCAACGACATGTGTACGTTCTCGGGTACTCAGCTGTTGGTTCAAGCGTGATACTGGATCTGTTGGACAACACCCGTTGTACCGGCAGAGACTAGAGCTGAAAGAACAGCTGCAGAACATGACGATAATATTCTGCGTACACAAAAAAAAGAAAAGAAAAAAGATACAAGATGTGCCGAAAAAGGACTGGGCACATACCACTTGAGTGCAGAGTGGAGCTGGCCCAGGGTGCTGTGCACGGACGAAACTAACCTTCTGTCGGAGAACAAAATAGACGGTTGTCAGGTTCGATCCAAGGGAGTAATTATGTATTAGACTGGTTAAACTATGGAATAGGTACTCGCGTACTTACAAATTACAAAGAAGACACAATGCCTTATGCATCACTTGACACCAATGCAAATTTGCCAGGTTATTTTCATCACAATATAAAATTTGTGGGCATTGTGTCTTGTTTAGAATTTGTTGCTTTTCACATCGTGTATATTTCCATAGTTAGGTTGCCCTCCGGTGTCTTTCTGTGGTGGGCCCGTAAACGTAATTGCCATCAATTGACCTACATTGAGGTAACACTATTTTCAGGTTGTTTCCAGTATTGTAATAATTTTAGTATTGTAGTTTGGACATATCGTGCACAAGCTGTTGTCAGGTCGACGTGGGCGACAATCAAATCATTAAACTGTAATTATGATAGTTATCCACGTGTACAATTACATTGTAAGTGTTCATGTCCGTTCCGTCTGGTTAATGAACACACGTAAATGCCCTTTGGAGACAAATAGCTTCGAATTACTAATTGCCATGTAACTGCCTGTTCATTATGTCCTGTTAAAGTTGGTGGTGGTAGTGGTGTGTGTGTGTGTGTGTGTGTGTGTGTCTGTGTGTGTGTGTCTGTGTGTGTCTGTGTGTGTGTGTCTGTCTGTCTGTCTGTCTGTCTGCCTGTGTGTCTACAGATCCGAAATATATCTACTTTCTCCAGCAAAAGAGTAAAATAGAAGCGACAAGATACTTTCCACAGTCAAAGCAAATCTGTGCGATTCTGACTGTACGGATCACAATCAGATAACACCCCTGCCGAGAGGAACCCTCTGCCGCTCCTATAACATACAATCGAGAGTCATTTGAGTCCCTCTATATTTCTCGTAAATTGTGTTCGTCAGTGGTATTTGGTAAGGCAAGGATATTCAAATAGTCTTGAATATATGGTAAATCCGCTTCTCATTTCTTTCTTCTTGAATAATTGTTAGCAGAAAAATATCAAGGCAAATTTTACAGAGGGTATACATTATGCATCCATGAGTTTCTGTAATATAGTATTTTCAAGCAGAAAACGTGGTTTACAGAAAAACATTTTTTCACTTTCATCCTGTGGTGATAAATGCATTGCCGTTTTGCAGTGTCACATATGTTATATTTGGGAGTACACTTTCTTAGTAAAGTACAGATTCTAGTACTTTTGTTGAGTTGAGTCCCATTCGAACCCACACCCTCAGGGGCAGGCATCTAATCGCCTATGTTACTGTTGACCACTTTCTAAATGGCACTGTGTATTCATCGCCGTTTTCGTCTTTTAACGCCACATCAAGCTGAATTCCACCAACTGACAGTGGTCTGTTCGATGCCGAGCCAATAACTGAATGTCCCTATCTTAAAAGAGATCTAGCTATAGTGTTTGTTTTGCGACTTTTCGCCTAGCATGAACCCACATATCCTGTATGTGTGCAGTTTTAGTATTATACTTGTAGGCTCGACGAAATATGTTGTTATGTGAACTCTGTGTATCTAAACCTTTAGCATAATGCAGATTTTAACAAGAGGTAAATAATATAGGCCTTTATCCATTCACTACAATCATCCGTAATGTCAGTTTCGTTTCAGACTCTAATTTGAAACTTCCTGTCAACCAGTGCCTCAACAACAAGGTCTATAAACAGGGATGAAGTGCGCTAGGATCCCATCGGTGACTGTGTGGCTTATATTGATAATTGGAATTTGCAGCGAACTTTCTCAAACATCAGCCCAAGAACAAGAGGTTGCGTCATGTATCCTAAAAGTACGTGAAACAGAAAAAAGAGTTCGAAATGAGGTGATAGAGGAACTGAAGAAAGAAATGGAGGAGACATTGAAAGGAAAGATGCAGAGAATTGATCTCCTGGAGACTGAGATTGCCCTGGAGAGGACACGACAACAGGTGATTGAACAGAAGGTGGAGCTGTCTTATAAGGGTCTGATGAGACTTGAGAATGCGTTGACGAAATGTACGGCGCCTACTTCAACAACTCTTGCCCCAACTACAACAACAAAGAAACCAGGTAAATCGCCATTTTACATCTTCGGGCTAGGTTCGTTTTTGTTTGGGACATTTCCGCCATTTTCGTATCCACGTGGATGGCTACAGGGTGAACATTGCCCCTGACACTGTTTCCTGTCTTCGGGTATGACATGGGGGAGTATATACAGAACAACAAAGAGCAAGAAAGTATCAAGGGAAATAACTCTTTAAACAGACAAAATAATCCGCGTCATCGGTGTTATTCTACACGTATCGTGGCATTACGACATGGGGTGCTTTAGAGTGATTCCATTCCTGGTTTCCACGGATCTTGGGTTTTAACTGTTCCTGCTTCATTCAACAAGTGATAAGATTGAGACATGTATAGAGCCACGTCCCGTGTTTTATAAATCGATCCAAACAGATATTGGACAGTGTAGTATTTATGAGTATATAACAGTTCTATTCGTAAAGGGCGGTGTGGTAGCCTAATGGTTAAAGCGTTGGCTCGTCACGCCCAAGACCCGGGTTCGAATCCCCACATGGGTACAATGTGTGAAGCCCATTTCTGGTGTCCCCCGCCGTGATGTTGCTGGAATATTGCTAAAAGCGGCGTAAAACCAAACTCACTCACTCAAACCTGCAAGAATTGTTTTGAAAACTGTGTATCATACACGTTTGTTCAATCACGGAAACCACGCCGAAGTACCAGCTAATCAGATGTTAGATAGCACGTGACGTCATTCGAGTGCAGCGGATGTTTACAGACGAGGCAACGGAAGTTTGGCCTTTTAACGAGTTTTCTTTTCCTGTAGTTATATTATACATGGATTATACAGAAGAACCCGTTATTTACCGGTATGATGACGAATTTACATTCTGATTCCGTACTCGATCGTCATTACAGTCTTAACTGTTCGTTTGTGATGTGTTGGGTTGTGTACATGCTACAAGTATCATGGTGAGTACGATCTCGATAGAGCTGTGACTTGACATATGCCTGTTGACTGTCAGTCAGTCAGTCAGTCAGTAATCGTAAAAGTCGCTAATTTACCAGAAGAATCTATTGCTCAAGAACACAATTTATTAACCGGATACTGGTCGTCAACAACTCCGATTCCTGGCACATAATGTCCTAAGGTTGAAAGAGAGGAAGGACTAAATATACTTTGAATAAGGCTGAGTTCAGGTACCCTCTCAAGGAGTGTCATATACTGAGAGGAAACAATAAGGGTTCACATGAAGGCACAAGTGTTCCTTTATTATTTTCCAGGTTTCTTCACAAGCTGTGCGATACAAGCTCCTGAAGAAAACCTGGACAAAATTAAAGGAACACTTGTGCTTGCACGTGATCCTTATTTTTTCCCTCAATATATATAAGAGAGACTGTTTATTGATCGGAGATTCATACACTGATCACAGAGCTCTTCATAAACATGGTGTTAAACAATCATATGACTGTTGCTAATAATGCTCCTGTACCAATTCCAGACTGTCCTGTGGGATACAAGAAGTTTCTGGACCACTGCTACCTGTTTGAAATGGCGAAGGCCGACTGGCAGACTGCCCGTGATAACTGCCTCGCTCAGGACGCGGACCTGGTCTCCATCAACAACTGGGATGAACTGGACTTCCTGCTGACTGAAATAGAAGAACGTGAGCTTCATACAGACGTGATAATTATTTATCAGGAATCATAACCAACACAATAAGGGGCACATCAGTCAACTGTTTACTTTTAAGTTCTAAATTCTTGTAGGGGACTCCAAACCAGAATGTCAGTATTGTTATTGTCGGTTGTCCTGTTATTGCAAACCATGTCCAATGATGAAACACTATTTCTTAAGACAAGGGGCAGATAATTCGGGATATATTCTTAAAACAACGTGTATTCTATTGCTCCGATCCCACCAACAACAGCTGTCGAAATGACAATTGTTTCCTGTTATTCCTTCTTAGACCCTTGCACATTGATCACACAGTTTGAATAGATTGACTGGATTCAACAGTTTAAACATACGGGAATATAAGCAAACTTTCAGCAGAATACCTTACCACATTCAGACGAAGTAACATCTTTGTGGTAAAGTGACCATAAGCATTTAGTGAGTGAGTGACTGACTGAGTTCAGTTTTACGCCGCACTCAGCAATATTCCAGCTATATGGCGACGGTCTGTAGATAATCGAATTTGGATCAGACAATCCAGTGATCAACAGCATGAGCATCGGTCTACGAAATTGGGATACGATGGCATGTGTCAACCAAGTCAGCGAGCCTGACCACCCGATCCCGTTAGCCACCTCATACCACAAGCATGGGTTACTGAAGATCAATCTTCTAACCCGGATCGTCACGGATACCTTAAGCATTGAGTACACGGGGTTAATGTTAGACCGTAGTCTTTACTGCAGGAAGTAAATAATAAGAACGCTAAGTCTTGATAAAGTGAACAAATTGAAGATATGCTCAGGAGCATATTTTTCAAGAGCGGACGTGGCAACTGACAAGAGCTTGTTTGCTTGATAATTGTTTGTTTGTTGTTGTTGTTGTTGTTGTTGTTGCGGTTTGTTGTTTTTTATGTTTGTGTGTTGGTTAACACCGTCCTCAGCAATATTCCAGTTATATGGCGGCGATCTGTAAATAATCGACACCTCAGTGATCAAGATGTGCATGGACCATAGGCTTCTTAAATAAAAAACACATTGAGACTATGTGACTGGAGCGGAGCTTGATTAACCTTGTGGTTAAAGCGCTCGCTCGCCCGGGTTCTATTCCCTACATGGGTAAAATGTGTGAAGCCCATTTCGTGTGTCCCCGCCGTGATGTTACTGGAATATTGCTAAAAGCGGAGTAACATTAATCACTCACTCACTTTGTGACTGGACAATGAAAGTCAATCTGGATAATTGACCGATACATACGTAGCGCTGAGCACCGTGTTGTTGCTTTTAGGTACATGCTTTACTTGTCTGTTAGTATGTATGCCTGGATGTTCTGAACCATGTTGTATGTTTAGGATATTGTTCCTTTTTTCAGATTACACGACCCGACGGCGAGACTCCTACTACATAGGCGTGGTATATGACGATGGGGAGTACATGTGGGTGGACGGTACGCCTGTGACATTTCGATACTGGGCCCAAGGAGAACCAAATTGTATGGACACAGTCTGCAAGGCCTATATCTCGGAATACATGGGATTTAAGTGGGCTGATGCGCGAGCAAATTACAAACTGTTCTATATTTGTGAAAGGAATATCAACTAGAGACACGCCTATGTGTAATCCAGCATTAAACATTACTTGATGCATGTTTCTGTTTTGGTGTCAGTTGAGATGTAATTTGCAATGTGCAGATTGCATCTAGTTCATATCACGACACGATTACAGCCAGTTGTTTATAATGTCCGATCACACGAAAATCAGACGTTTCAATATTTTTTACATTCTGTTGTGCTGTTTTGGCTTATTACATGTAGAGCAGATATGGTCGATTTCTTGTGGTTGTAGACAAACCGTGCAGATCCGGGTTAGAATTGGTCTTCAGTAACCCATGGCCATGCTTCTCTTGGATGACATGTGTCATCGTATCCCAAGTGCGTATATCGATGCTCTTGCTGTTGATCACTTGAATGTCTGGTCCAGACTCGATTATTTACAGATCGCCCCCATATAGCTGGAATATTGTTGATAGTGGCGTAAAACTAAATTCACTCACTCACTCACTGGTTGTAGACTTCAAGTTGGAAACAATTGGCTAATATGTACAATAGTTCACAATGATCAGAGGTCCAGTTGAACGTGTCACATGACGCTATAAACGCTGTCATGGAAGCTCGTACTCATTCGGGTATGGGCCAGACAACGACTGACTCGACCGATGTAGTCGAGGGTTACGATAAGCAAAACATACCAAATCCAAATACTATCCCGGAATCTATACGTCGATTCAGTCTCTAAATATGAAAAACGGCCAATCGTCGGTCGTTGAATGTATAATTATGCAGTTAACAACGATTGAAAAGTTTGGTATGTTTGTCTGTAGTTGAAAAATGCATCCGAATTTAATCACACCCTTCACTTCAACATACCATACAGATCATATACTACTGTAACAGTGCATTATTTCATGTTATGCAATTTTAAATGCAAACAGATAATAACAGGATTTGCGGTGTTTGCCTTAGTCGCTGTTTAACTGTTGGCAGGATAATATCAAAATCTGTATCAACACAACGAAATGTTTAATGTCTCCCTCCTTCAACAGTGTTGTCGTGTCAGCAGCCTACTGTCATTGACATCTCACGAAAACAATTATGATGAAGTGTAAACTGTGGAGGTGTTGTGAAAACGACACATATATTAAAGATGTTCATGACATAGAAGGTCGTAGCACAAATTTCATGAACCGTGGATCAAACTTTCCTGACCATGTTGTTACGTTATATATGTATTATATTTATATCAATAGGCCTCATTTCCAGGTTCCGTGAAATTAGACCTTTGTTTTGGAAACGGAAGAGCCTTTCTTCGCATTTATCTTTTCATTTTAAGGCGCTTCGGAGCATTTCCCCCAAAGCACACCACTATGGATACAACAAAATCGCTGAACGATATATACGGGATATGATACCTTACGTAACAACGCTGTTGTGGGCTCCCTACATTGAAATCCACCTTGTATTGTCTTCATAAATGGAAGCTAAAATGTATTCTGTGTTACATCAGTCTATTCACTGCAAATATATACATTTGTTGGGGCGTGTATGTTTCTGAATGTACCCTTAATGGACAACTCTACGGTTCTTCAGCAACTAATGCTTATAAGAAGCGAATAACAATCACTGGATTGTCTGGTCCGTTTGTTTACATACTGCTGTAATGCTACTGAAACAAATATACGCTCATGATATAGTCACAATTGTACAATCTACTCTGCTTTTAGCAGAGATTTCTTATGAATGTGGAAAGGGTTTTGTCGCTTCTATTTTCAAGTTCTTCGAATTGGTTGACACATGTCATTGCATGCCAGTTTCATTAAGACGTGTTCATGTGGCCAAGATTGTCTCGTCCAGACTCGACTTTTTACGGATCACCCTCATATTACAGGAATATTGTTGAGTTAAACAGATATTCATTACAAATCGGTCGAAGTCCTCAAAGCATATTTTTCTCTCCTTTCTTCTGTCGTCAACTGCAGCGTTTGTACACTATACACCAACAAAATCAGTCTGTTTCAGAAAACGTTTTATTCGACTTTATATGTATCTTACATAATACTGCCTAACATCTCAACGACCTATTGATATTTCGAATGGATTTGTAAACACATAAATTAAGTAAAATAGCCGATACAGAAAATAACCTGAAGAAGATTTCAGAGCGGCATACACGCTCACAAAGGAAAAGGGGGCAACTCTTTGCTGCTTAACTACAGCTGGTACCATCCCCTTCGCTTCGCCATCGTTTTGTCAGCCAAACTGTTCTAACGCAAATATCTACAGGGAAACCGTACACCTTTACGCATCAGGAGAAACTATAACATATAATGAAAGTGCACTAGATAAACATGAAGTAATAGACAAAATAGCTGGCCCTACTGAAGACGTAAATTCATAAATTGTACAGGGACGGATACAGCTTTTTGTGAAAGGAGAGGTGCGCTGTTCGGAAGGGACGGGGGTGGGGGCGGGGGTGGTGCACAGTTCCTTTTCACCCATATTCTCGAGAGTTTCAATGGTCATTTAATTAACTTTCAGGACAAACGGTGTGTGTAAGTGTGTTTACTGCATGAAATGTTTATTTAATGCACATCGTTTATGTACATGATAAACCGTGTCTATATTCTTATGCAAGGCCAAAATAGGATGAGGAGACACTATCAATTTAAACATGTATTATATAATGATACTGTCTATAAATATCACGTTACTATTCAAACGTGACTGTGTTGAATTCTCCATCATAAGGACATTTTTAATAAAGTTAATTATCATTTAATCATTGATTTTTTAAAAGAAATAGACTTGTTAAATGAATTTTGATATATGTTTTGTAAATAGATAAGCTTTTATAATTGGTAGTTCAGATTTTCAACTTAGATTGTTAGTGACTGTATCCTCAAAGGGGGTTAAAGTACCGTAAAATTATTGTCCTCCTGAGAGGGTACGTAAGTCCCAAAACTTTCAAAGTAAAATATATATTATCACATTTTAAACGTAGTATTTGTGTTATTTTAACTGTTGGCTAAATTTTCCTACAATCGCCAGCGGCTGAAGGGACGGTGTAAATCCAGCTAGGATCCATGCAGGTAGCAAAAGTAACGTAAGTCCCCATGGTTCCTAGTATGGTGATCTACCTTCAGTTGTTGGCGATCTATAGCCAGTGTATTATACTGTATTGTCTTCTTTAATTGGATTTTTTTAGGTTTGCTCGCTAGGTTTATATTCATATCTGTGATTCTCTAGTATTTTTACTGTCCATCGTCGGCAGGTTTTAATCTTCCAAATGTTTTCACCTTTTATTGTCTGGATCGTTCTCTTCACGATATGGCTGAGATATTGCCGATGTGACGTTAAATAATAACTCACTCACTCACTCACTGATCGTGAAAGAGGTTCACAGTTCTACTGTGTAACTTAAATCGAATACTATACCGAACATGTCAACAATAGCTAAAACGAGTCAGTAATTGACAAATAATCCCACATCTCACATCTCACACTTTTATTCTATCGGATTACTGACTGACTGAGTTGGTTTAACGCCGCTTTTAGCAATATTCCAGCAACATAACGGCGGGGGACGCCAGAAATGGGCTTCATAAACTGTACCCATATGGGGATTCGAACCCGGGTCTTCGGCGTGATGAGCCAACGCTTTAACCACTAGGCTACCCCACCGACCCTCTATCGGATTAATTAAGCATATTTATACAAAATGGTTCCCTAATGAAGTAATGAATCAACTAAACATGGGGTAAGTCAGGTCATGACAAATATATCTAAATATATACCAGTAAAACATGTAATTTATACCCCATTTGGAATTATCATCATCATCAAGGTTCGCTCTGAGTGAATCACAGCGATTGGAATATGTCTTATCCATAAGTATTCAATACATACAAAAGCTCTTTGTATGAAAGATAGGTGTGTCTCTGGTAAGAAACCGTTTCACTACCGTCGTGTTATGGTTAGTCATTACATTTCTTGTTTTCTGAGATATTGATTGGTACATGTAGGTTGTTGACTTTGTAGTGTAGGCTTGATATTTGAGTGAGTGAGTTTAGTCTGGACCAGACAATCCAGTGATCAACAGCAGGAGCATCGATCTGCGCAATGGGAACAGATGACATGTGTCAACCAAGTCAGCGAGCCTGACCACCCGATCCCGTTAGTCGCCTCTTACAAGCATGGGTTACTGAAGATCAATGCTGACCAGGGTGTGCTCGTTACATTTAATGCTACAAAAACACAATACCAAGTTAAACTTGGAGATAATAACGTTTCGGATTTTATTTTAGATTTTGAAACAGCTTCCAAATTAGAAAACTTATTCATCGACTCTTTCCAAGAAATTAGAAATTTTAAAACTAAGTCACACAACGTGGACACTTGTTGGTTGTTAAGTCATATTATCAACAACTTTCGTTTTACATTTGATCGTTTATTTGGATCACTTACCGTTCAGTACTCGGACACAGGCGCTCTATCATAATATTATATGTAGAAGACATGAAATCAATTGCTGGGTATTTAATTAAAGCTGATGCCAGTGTGGAGTATCACCTATTCCTTGAAGAATTCATAAATAATTTCTAGAGGGTAAGTACATTTTTTTGCATATAGAGTAGATGTTTCCGTACTTGAAGTCTATTTGCTTTACATATGTTCTGTTTATGTGAATGTACACTTTATAGAGAAACATCTATATAGGTTACCACGCGAGTGTGTTTTGGGATGGTTAACATCCTGCATTAGGAATAAACATTGTATTTAGCGAGCCTTGGCTTTATTTGGCCCTACAGCCATTTTCACAAAGTTTGGCAAGACCAGGTCAACAAAAACACCTCAGAGAAAAACAATGGCACCAAAGAGATCGCTAAAGAGACAGGTTTCATCTAACAAGAAAAAGAGGAGGACACCTCCCACCATAAAACTGTCATTATCTCTTAGCTATTGCAAAACATCTTATGGACACCTCACAGTGGATCTCAAACCAGGTATAAAGGAGAAGAATAGACTGCATGTCAATATATACTAGCCACATAAAGAAACTGTGCATTGTCAAAATATCATCCCAGTTGATAAGTACGATAACAATGTCAAAGGTACATATAAACTTTAATGGAGGGATCATGAGACCATAACAAGTCGGATTGAAAAGTCAATCACAATGACGTCACGAGTCCACAAACGGGACAGGGGTCAAACGACCATGTCACAAGCTCAATAACGGGTATGTCCACCATCGGCATTGAGAACAGCAGTGCATCGACGACGCATAGAGCCTATCAAACGTGCAAGGAAGGCTTTTGGGATGTCACGCCAGATTCTCTCAAGATCTGTTGCAAGGTCAAGGACGTTATTTCGCGGATGAGGAAGACGGCGTAGACGTCGATTCATCTCGTCCCAAACATGCTCTATCGGGGAGAGATCTGGTGAATTTGCAGGCCAAGGCAGTAAGTCAACGTTGTGGTGTTGCAAGAAATCCATAGCAACCCTTGCCGTATGAGGGCGGGCATTGTCCTGTTGGAATGTTAACCCAGGGCCATGACGTTGCAGAAAAGGAATTGCCACAGGTCGAAGAATCTGATCCCTGTAGCCCACACCAGTTAAGCCCTGAACAATCACCAAAGGAGTTCTTTGGCGTACTGTTATTCTACCCCAAATCATCACGGAACCACCACCACAGCGATTCCTCTCCAAGACACAAGCCTGTGCATAACGTTCTCCCATGCGTCTATAGGCACGTTGCCGGCCATGACTATGGGAAATGTTAAACCTGGACTCATCTGTAAAAACAACATTTCTCCAGCAAAACAAGGGTCTGCGGACATGATTTCGGCACCCCATTCGGCGAGCTTGTCGATGACGTTGTGTCAGGATAGGCCGTATGGCGGGACGTCGTGGTCTGATCCCGTGTGAAGAGTTATCCCCCATTTGTTTACTTGCTAGCAGACGACATTTTCAGTGATCCTCAGTATGGATGATTTAGAGAAGAGGAAGTTGATTTTAGAGTATTATAACAAGGACATCAGATCAGCTAAAGTGATTTCAAGTAGAACAGGCATCCCTTTGTCCACTGTTTATCGTGTTTTGAAAAATATTGCAAATAGATATGGCATTGAGCACCAGGGAGGCGCAGGTAGGCCCAGAAAAGTGACTGTCGGTGACAGGAGGCGGCTGGATATTCTTGTTTCTAAAAACAAACGAAGGAGATTATAAAACGTAAGGCTGGATATGATTGATAGAGGAACTGTGGCTGTCTGTAAGGAGACAATTAGAACTGAGCTGCATGCAATGGGTTGGCAGAAAAGTCGAGGAATTCCATCACCGATCATGAAACCTGAACAAAAGGAGCGAAGGTTGAACTGGTGCTTACAGCATAGAAATTTAACTGGGACAATGTGATTTTCTCAGATGAAGGTTCTGTGTGACTGTTTCCTAATACACTAAAATTCTGGACCAAACAAACTGAAAAACCTTTGTATCAGCGCCCAAAGTACAGTCCGAAATTTAACGTGTGGGGTGGCATATCTGTGTTAGGGGCAACGCACCTCTGTGTATTTGAAGGGAATATGAACAGTGAGCGGTACACAGATATTCTCGAGGGACATTTACTTCCATCTGCTCACGTGTTCTATGGAAAGTTTTTGATTTTCCAGGAAGGACAACAGCATTACGAGGATGTGTCATGGACCGATCGAGTAATGACGACGTGTCATGGACCGATAGCATAATGAGGACGTGTCATGGACCGACAACACAATGAGAACATGTCGTTGCCGATAGCGCAATAAGAACGTGCCATGGACCAATAGCGCAACGAGGACGTGCCATGGACCAATAGCGCAATGAGGACGTGTCATTGACCGATAGCTTAATGTGGACTTGTCATGGACGATAGTGAAAAGAGGACGTGTCATGGACCGATAGTGCAATGAGGACATGTCATGACCGTTAGCATAATGAGCACGTGTCATGGACCGATAGCGAAATGAGGACTTGTCATGGACTGACAGCATAATGTGGACGTTTCATGGACCGAGAGCGAAATGAGGACGTGTCATGGACCGAGAGCGAAATGAGGACGTTTGTCATTGACTGACAGTGGAATGTGGACGTGTCATGGACTGACAGAGGAATGTGGACGTGTCATGGACTGATAGCGAAATAAGGACGTGTCATGGACCGATAGCACAATGTTGACGTGTCATGGACCGATAGCATAATGTGGACGTGCCATGGGCCGGTAGCATAATGTAGACGTATCATGGACCGAGAGCGAAATGAGGACGTGTCATGGACCGATAGCATAATGAGGACGTGTCATTGACCGACAACACAATGACGACATGTCATTGCCCGATAGCGCAATGAGGACGTGCCATGGACCAATAGTTCAATGAGGACGTGTCATGGACCGATAGGACAATGAGGACGTGTCATTGACCGATAGCATAATGTGGACGTGTCATGGACCGATAGCATAATGTGGACATGTCATACACCGATAGCAAAATGAGGACGTGTCATGGACTGATAGCATAATGAGGACGTGTCATGGACCGATAGCACAATGTGGACGTGTCATGGACCGATAGCATAATGTGAACATGTCATGGACCGATAGCATAATGTGGACGTGTCATGGATCGATAGCATAATGTGGACGTGTCATGGACCGAGAGCGAAATGACGACGTGCCATGGACCGATAGCATAATGTGGACATGTCATAGACCGATAGCATAATGAGGACGTGTCGTGGACTGATAGCGCAATGAGGACGTGTCATGGACTGATAGCGCAATGAGGACGTGTGTCATTGACTGAGAATGGAATGTGGACGTGTCATGGACTAACAGAGGAATGTGGACGTGTCATGGATTAACAGTGGAATGTGGACGTAAGGGAAGTAAATGGTCTGCTGTACCTATATGTTTTACGATACAAATCACTCTAGTGACTTGCAAGTGTGACCTGTATGGAACGAGGTTGATCCCCCGATTTGCGCAATTTGGATCACTGTCACCTGGTCAAGTTGACCCGGGGCTCGTGTAGCATTCTCTATGTGTGACATAGAAACACTTCTATACTTACAACAATATCACAAGAACGACGATGAGCAGGCCGACTGGTACCACTGTGGAAGGGGCGATCATATCTGTGCAGAGAATTATACAGATTAGTACACACTTTGAAATATATACACAAGTGGTTTACATATATTCTAAAGGCACTGATACCGCTAAACAAGTGATAAATAGTCACTTCCTAACACTGTGCTTGTGGATATACAAAATTCGTTCAATGGATACAGCATGGTTATCTGATGTGCCAACTGCTGACATCCGGAACTCACACTATTTCCATGAGAGTGAGTGAGTTTAGTTTTACGCCGCTTTTAGCAATATTCCAGCAATATCACGGCGGCATTTGCATAAGACTCCTGGTAGGTGACGAAGCACTGCAGTATTCCTGCCAAGCTCTGTCGGTTGTAAACAAACCAGACAGTCTAGTGATCGATGAACCAGAAAACCCAGTGGACACGAGGCACACAAACACATGCACCACTTCCATTTGATCTGTGTGTTCTGTAACGTGAGTTTTCGGCGTTTATTGTAACTACGAAGACTTAAAATTACAAGGGATAAGTATTTCAAAGTCAAAACATTGAAGGCTATTTTCAGTGTGAATTATCATCTAATTATTGCATTTTTAAAAGAAATAGAGTTATTAGATAATATTTTATTATAGTTGTGAAGATGGATAAATCTTTTATGATTGGTAGTTTAAATTAACAACTGATATTGTTAGTGGCTGTATCCTCGAAGGGGGCTAAAGTACTGTAAATTTATTGTCGTCCTGAGAGGGTACGCAAGTCCCCAAACAATAAAAGTAACTTTAACTTACTACTATTTTTAAACGCAGTAAAAATGTTATTTTAATGTATGGCTAGATTGTCAAAAAATTGCTAACATCTGAAGGGATGGTGTAAATCCAGCTTGGGTCCATGCAGGAAGCAAATGTACTGTAAGTTCTTATGGTCCCTAGTGTGGTGATCTACCTGCGGTTGTTGACAATCAATAGCCTGTTTTTATATTGTATTGTCATCTATAGTTAAACTGTTTTCATTGCTAGTTTTAAATTTATATCTATGATAATCTAGTTGTTTTACTGTCCTTCGTTGACAGGTTGTTAAACATTTATATTTAATTACTATGAACCTATAACTTGATTTAGTCACGATATGACTGCCGATGTGACTTACAATCTTAACTCACTCACTCACTCATGACTCACCAGCACCGGAACCATCCTGGACTGACACAGCTACACAGCTATGTATGATGTTATTACCATCAGCATCGTATTTACAACCTGTCGTGCATATCCTTTGCTGGCCGTCTTCATACATCCGACACTGGCCTCCTTCAGAACAGTCAGTTCCACATTTGAGATTACAGGACGTACCGTAGTACCCATCAATACATCCTGACTTGCATCTGCCACTTCTGAAACAACTCGTCATACAGCCATGACACGTCTTATCACACGCTACACCATACCCTTTACCGTTGCATTCTACACACGCGGCACTCTCTGGGAGGCAGATGTTATCCTTACAGTCTGGGGGGCAGGTTACGGCCTGACATGCCACGTCCATTCCACATTTCCCGCAGTACTGTCCGTGGTATCCATCCATGCACTTCAAGCAGCTCTTAAATTGGTCACATTGTTGGCAGTGTTCTGGGCAGCTCTCAGAGCCTGGCAACGTAACGGTTATTGTTAGACTTGGTCTATTTTGATGTTTGTTGTTAGAGGCGCACTTAGCAATATTTCGGCTGTCTGTAAATAATCGAGTCTGGACCAGACAATCCAGTGATCTACATCATGAGCAGCGATCTACGCATATTGGGATACGGTGACATGTGACAACCAAGTCAGCGAGCCTGACCACCTATCCCGTTAGTAGCCTCATAGGATAAGCATGCGTTACTGAAGATCAATTCTAACCGGGATATTCACGGGTCGGATACAATGACATGTGTCAACAACGTCAGCGAGCCTGGCCACTCGATTCCATTTGTCGCCTCTTACGATAAGCATGGGTTTGCTGAAGACCAACTCTAACTCTGATCTTTTGGGGTTTGTTCTTATTTGACCGAAAACAATGCTGCACTGGATGTTGCATGAGCAATCACTCATAATTTGAGGCATTTGGCATCATCATCTGGTTTTATATTTGCTAATGCTGCATGTACATGGTGTAAGACGTGATGAAGTATTCAGGTGAATCAGTTAGATGGTTGTAACGCTGCAAACTATATCAGTAAGCGGAGTGGAGGGACAATCCAAGGTGACGTGAGTCTTAGACATTTGACATGGCCATTCGTATTGGAAATAGCTATCTCTCCTGTATCTGATTTAAGACCATCAATGCCAGTATATAATATCACAGAATGAAGATAATTGATAATCTAAAAAACTACCAGCACGAGAAAGGTTCTACAAACATAATTTTGGCAAACCGATGTTCGAATCCATGATCAATGGTTTCTGACACCCGTAAGTAATTCAAGGACGGGACCAGCAGTGCCCAATGGTGTACTGTGGAGAAATATACTGATATCATGTACACAGTGCGGCTGATACAAAAATACTTAGTTAAGTGGCCACAAAGAAGTCACCGTTGAACTGCAATTTTGCATCACGGTCATTAAAAGGTTTGACATCAATGAAGAAGTATTGACAGTGACAGCTGTGATGTAACAATATCGATGAATATAAAACACGTACAGGAACACCGAGATTATTGTGAATTAGAAATAACGCATTCAGAAACGTGAGAATATACTTACTTTTCACATTCACCAACATCAACATAAGCCATAGCCACTTTCCTTTAAATATCTGAAAGTTACAAACACCATGGTAGGACTATTAAGACAGTCAACCTTGCAGCACGATATTTGTTTTCTTACAGTTATATTTTACACATCCTGGGTACATTATAATGCCATGTTGTTCGAACGAACCGCTGGGATGGAATTAGGGATGGATGCGGCATATGTAGCATCGATCTGAACAAATGATAAATGATTAAACATTCTGTGCCTAATAAACATACTAGTACACGTATCGCTTCTTCTGACATACGAGGCTAAGGCCAGGCAGCCCAGAATATTTATTCCGACGTGAAGTAAAATAAAGCCTCAGTGTTTCCCGTCGCTGTGGATATACGTACTCTGATGGGAGGTAAAATACTCTTACCCTTGCATAATAATGAAAATCTTTCTTTATCTATATGTATTAACATACTGTTCCCGAGGCAAATTAGACGCCATTAGTATAACAGTTTCCTAAACTGTGTTACGGGAATGGTGAAAAGCATTTTTCGCTCCTTTGTAGTTGTTAGGTCGGAGTATGAACGCTCCAAGTGTAATTAAACTCTGACAAATGAATTATTGTGCACCACAGGTGTGCAATACCCAATTAATTTATTTTAATTTTGACAGGAAATGACTAACTAATATAGATATTGATAAAGCCACGCGACATTCCTACACATATACGAATCTGTACGGGCCAAATAGCAACAACAGGAATACCTTTGACTCATGGGCCAAGTAGATGTAGTTGACCTTAGGATTATGTTATTTTCCGGTACGTGCGTCACAGTTGTCATTTCGTGGCAAAGCAATTAGTCATTCGTAGACAGTGTTTAAAATTGATCATGCCATACTCTCAGTCCAATAATTTGTCACGTAATTATATTAATTCATTGTAATCATGAACTTTATATGAATAGATCGGCTCACAAACCTTTTGTGGTGAATATGAGTAAATTTGAAAGATCCGTTTACGCGTGTGAGCTGGTATCTTATAATAGATTACTTGAAAGAAATTGGTCAGACTCTGTAAAAATATCATATACTGTAAATAATTTATGTATATGAATAACTGATTGCATATGTATCTATTTGTTTATTTTGGCTCATGGTCCATATTTTGAATTGTCATGGCCGTGTTTTCAAATGTTAATTATATTGTGATTTTAAAATGTGTTATAAAAATTGTTTTCAAGTATGATATCGATGTTGTATATATGATTGACTTGTGTATATGCGTGAACTTGGTCTCGGCGTCACGTGGTTAAAATAAACCTGATGCGACGTTAACTATTAACGAACCCACTCAAACACTGTGGAATTCTTAGCGCTTTATAAAATGATTAAAGGTTAAACGTACAGGCATTAACAACCCCAACCCCAACCCCAACCCCAACCCCACATCCTTCAACGGAAGGCTAACACACACTGGCATTACTGGAGTATTCAGTCAAAGTGGCATTAACCCTAAAACACGTAGATACTGATTCATGTATAGCTTTAGTGATATATAGTGCACGTTGTATTTTCCACTGGGGAGATACAGCCGGATATCACATAAACCGTTTAAGATAAAACATAATCCAGGCGTTATGAGAACCTACATTAGGCAGGTCACCTACCATTGAAAGACTTGCCATCTTCGAGGATTCTGGACACGTGTCTGCAATGGAGGAAGAGGACAGTCAACAGGCATATGTCAAGTCACAGCTCCATCGAGATCGTACTCACCATGATACTTGTAGCATGTACACAACACATCACAAACGAACAGTTAAGACTGTAATGACGATCGATTACGGAATCAGAATGTAAATTCGTCTTCATACCGGTAAATAACGGGTTCTTCTGTATAATCCATGTATGATATAACTACAGAAACAAAAACTCGATAAGGGCCAAACTTCCGTTGCCTCGTCTGTAAACATCCGCTGCACTCGAATGACGTCACGTGTTATCTAACATCTGATTAGCTGGTACTTCAGCGTGGTTTTCGTGAATGAACAAACGTGTATGGTACACAGTTTTCAATACAATTCTTGCCGGTTTGAGTGAGTGAGTTTGGTTTTATGCCGCTTTTAGCAATATTCCAGCAATAACATGGCGGGGGACACCAGAAACGGGCTTCACACATTGTACCCATTTTGGAAATCGAACCCGGGTCTTCGGCGTGACGAGCGAACGCTTTAATTACTAGGCTACCCAATCGCCCCTTCTTGCAGATTTGAAGCTCCGGGGGTAATTCAAAATTTGTGAGATATTCCTAAAATGTGGAAGTTTCTCTGATTATATCACTGGTTACATGTACATGTATCCTTTCAGGCAGATGTACCACCAATTTGCTTCGAGTTATACTATCTCATATAAGAAACAAGTTCAGCTTTAAAAAAAAATGATTTTCTACTTATTACCCCACTATCCCACACGAAAAACTCAGGGAAACCTTCATTAATTGACTAAGGGTGGCCTTTGTTGCTAAACGTGGTAAATATAAGTATTGTTTCATTTCTGTAATATAATGTTCAGAACACAGTGTCAAAAATTGAAAACATTTGATCTGGAGTTTACCGTGAAAACTACGTGTGAAATTCTTGACTTTCTACTTTGTAACTTTTATGCCTCCAATTTAGGACACAATATTTATGCATGATGTAGACATCCCACGCGATTGCAGTTTGTTGGCTTAAATGATCGCGTCAGATCAAAACTGAGTCAGAGGCCTTTTAAATCATTGATTATGTATATGATTTACCACCCACACTGCCGACGAACAACGAGGTAAGGTCCCAAACTGTAACAACACGCTCTACCCAATACTGTCAGCATGACGGTGATTTAAGAGAAGGCAAGTAGACTTACCCGCTGATATGCCGACATTCTGTTTAAACAAGAGGCATGTTGGAAGTGGCCTTATATCATACTAATCACAAACAACTGGGATGTAGGTCGCGTGAGAAAACGTTTCCCTCATATAGCGACATAGGTTGGTAGTGTACCGTGTAATACTATAGTGATTCGACAAAGAGAGCGTTGCGTTCAGTGTCTGTAACTCTCACGTATCGGGCGGCTGTTTCTGTAGCAGCCTATTGTTGACAAAGGACGTGACAATCCTTTCCAGTCACGATCGTCGAGGAGGTCGTTACCGACGGCGTTGCGCAAGAGAATGTCAAACTGTGATCGTGAGAAGATGCGTCCTGAGAATCCATTGATATTAGTTTCCAGGTATATTAGTTGTTCACCTTATGAAATTATTAATTAAAGTAACAAAACTATTTCTACGTCAATACGAATCCGTTACGACTGGCATTATTTGTAAATTCACAAACTATCAATTATTTCAATATATTTAACTAATATACATGTTGATATTTTATTGGCCATTTTGGCAGCCGTTTTCTTTGCACCTATCGAATTTTCTCTAAGGCTGTTATGACAGTGGCCGTTACTCTCTGTCCCTCGTACTCGAGTGGGCCACCAGTGACTCCCGGGGTACATAAATGGAATGAGGAAGTGAAAACAGTGATGATATGTACATTTTACGTGCGCTTTACGACATGACGCATATGTCGCACCCGATTGTGGAAGTTGGAGTTATTTATAATCAGCTTGAGTGGGTTGACCAAAATACACTGACTTCATCTCTCATAACAATAATAATAATAATAATAGTTTTTATTATAGCGTCATGTGTTACAAATTATAAAACAGCATAGTACAGCATTTGCAATACTAATTAATTTTAAAAAACATGAACAGATTCTTCACCTATATACGCAACTAGAAACGTACATAGATACAAAAATACAGACACCCACACATACATACATACACACACATACATACACATACATACATACATAGATACATACATACATAGATACATAGATACACATACACATACATACATAGATACATACACACACACATACATACATACACACACACACATACAAACATACATACATACATACATACATACATACATACATACATACATACATACATACATACATACATACATACATACATACATACATACATACATACATACATACATACATACATACACACATACATACATACATACATACATACATACATACATACATACATACATACATACATACATACATACATACATACATACATACATACATACATACATACATACATACATACTCACCCTACAAACTGTGGCTGTGGACGGCGGGAATACGGACCTGATGTGTGCGCGTAGTGTCCTGATAAGGATATGTATACACCCACTATGTACACAACAACCTGCGTCTCGCGTGTCTGTCACGCCCCTCCTCCTGGGTTAGGTTAAATGAACCACCTCGTCCTAAATCACGATTCAAATGTGAGTAGCTCCACTGTGAAAGAAATGGGTGGTGCACCAATGCTCTGTGTTAGAAATATACTTCGTAGAAAAACATTTTGAAAAATGTCGAACATTTACAATTGTTTTACAATGCCACTTCTTTCGCGGTAAACTTTAATTCATTGAAAATTATTTGTCAATCTGAAATAAATAAATATTTTTATAACAATAATCTTGACAAAGTCAAGTGTGCTTTTCTAAAAGTATTGTCAAAGCAAGTGGTGATTCTTACGAAAAACGCTCTTTTACATGTTTCATATTTATGAAATACATGGGCACAATGTGTGAAGCCCATTTCTGGTGTCCCATACCGTGATATTGCTGGAATATTGCTAAAAGCGGCGTAAAGCCAAACACCCTTATAGTTAAAATATAGCACCACGAGACCATTCAGACCATAAAGCATACATACACACTTTGGCACTGAAAATGACCCTTTCAATTTCTGTCCCGCCTCAAAACGCGTTCAGGAACAAACTTTTGAATTGGAGTGAGGTTGAACTAGAATTTGAAAAGAGTCGAGTTTTAATGATTCGGTGGGAATATTGCACAAGGAACTGCTTTGGCAAGAGACTTCTGATGGTTATGGAATTTATGTATGTTATTGTTTTCATGTTTTTATGAAATATTTCTCTTCTGCTAGAGATGGTAAAGAGGTTGGGGTGCATGGCTATCTGAGTGAACGCTTCATCAGATGAAGATTACATGTAGAAGTCGTTATCGTTTAGCACAGAATCTGTCATACTGATGACATATCTAACTCCACGTGTTATTTTTTCAGTCCTGTGGTTTCATTTACGGCATTGCCTTTTAGACGCTGCCACTAGCAACTGCTTGAGACACTCAAATCCTTAAACTGGCCAAAGTCTTCAACTGGCCAATGTCGTCAAAAGATACACTGATTTTCTAGTATTTTCTAGGCCAACAATAATTTTATGACATGAGGAAGAATGTGCAGAAAGTATAATATATAATTAACCTTTGTTGTGTTAATATTTTGTGCAAAATCACCTACATATGAGCCTTGTTTAATTTCCTGTAAATGCGAATTGCGTTGCGCACATGACTAAAACGTCGCACTGTATCTGTTGTTAACAGTAGACAATGGAGTATAAGGTGAGGTGAGGTGAAATTGGGTTAAACGTCGTGCTTGAGAATATTTCGCTCATATGACGACGTGCATGCGTGTGTATGTGTATGTGCGGCTGCTTGTACTAGCCCAGACTTAGGCTGGTTTTATAGTGCTAGCCCACTGAGATACCATGCCGCAGTGAAACATGAATACACCACTCAGACACATTATACTGACTCCGAACCGACCAGTCCTTGTTGTACCCATCAATGCCGAGCGCCAGGCAGGAACCAACAAGTACCACATTTTAACGTCTTTTGGTGTGACGCGGTCGGGGATCGAACCTGCGACCTTCCGCACTCCGGGCAGACGCTCTAACCACTACACCACGGAAGCGGTAAATGGAGTATAAGTGTCGAAGACAGAGACAGTGCACACAACCATACATCTATGCGCGTTTGCGCGTGCTGTAGTTTATACTCGCGTTATCTGGAATACCTTTATAGTTAATATAGTAAGACGACGATAGAAAATCAATCCAGTCCAAGTATATACTACATTGTGATTGTGATCGTAGAATAGTGAAATGTTAGTCATTATCAGTTGTTGGTTAACACGTTAGAACATCCTTGATCATTGATGAACATTCCGCATGCCTCGAAGAGGAAATATGCTACTGTCGTTTAGAGATGTGTCCCAATACCAGTTTAATGAGGCGAGACAATATATCATGAAAGTATTGGCAAGGAACTTGCAAGACAATTATCATCACGATAAAAGGCTGACGATACGATAGTATCCCGAAACGTTACGATTTCCAATAACACAACATATATGATAGATAAAATGACTGAATCTTATTTTGTTATAGCGCAGAACTTGTGTTACATTCACACACACTTAAAAAGCTGTTCATCTAATATAAGAAAGAACAGTCAAACATATTCAATATACTTTGATCTAATATATACTATCCCAAAAAAGAAACGCATAGGCGTTTCGTATTCGTTTCGTAGATGTAAAAATCTATCAATTACCTATTCTGTTCGAACAATCGTCAAAATATGTAACAAAAGTGTTGATAACATGATTTTACACAATTGCACAAGTAAACAATCCACTTTAACTGAAAATGTTCATTTTAATGAGATTTCTTACAAGGAATAAAAAGGCATCACCACAACGCAACAGAAATCACCTTCCATTTGAAATTGTGCAGCAATGAGCATGCACTGTTTGGCTTTCAAAATCTAGATTACTTTCGGAAATCGGCATTCGTTTTGAAGGAGTTTCAAGGTCAAATCACTACGCCGCGTCTTGACGCTGCGACACGTACGGAACATCGCTATTGAAAGAATGCACGCTTGAGATTACCAATTTTCTGTTGCCAGGCGTCTGAATGTCAGTCTGAGCACGTTACAACCAAACAGGTATAACAAATTACCCTCACCATACAGGCAGACCTCGAGTCACCACTGTAGCCCAAGATCGGTTCATCCGGTTACTACATTTGCGTGATCGTGTTGCTACGGGTGAGAGCACAGCAGCCAGGGTACCTGGAGGATATCCGGTCAAACTGTATGGAACCATTTAAGTTCGATGAAGAAGATGACATGTGTCAACCAAGTCAGCGAGCCTGACCACCCAATCCCGTTAGTCACCTCTTGTGACAAGCATAGGTTGCTGAAGATCAATATTCTAACCCGGATTTTCACGAGTTTTAGCTAAGGAGACAAAGTCTTGGAATATAAATTACAAAACACAAAGACACCATGAAATGGCCTCACGAAATCTGAGGGTGAAGAAATAAGGCGTATTGGCAACCGGAAATTATATCTACGAACTCTTTAGCAGTGCAGTAATGGCATCAACAGCAAATAATGCGATACCTACAGCATTGTTTTGAGTACATATAAACTGCACAGTACATACAATACATTCACCGCTATTCGTCTGAAAGTTCCCAATCAGCATGACTATTTAACGAGGGGAGTACGGATTAACGAGTGGTGTACTTTGAAACTGTGCCCTGTTTTACAAACTAGCAATCTCAGTGTTATGTGTCTTTTGCCATTAAACAACTGCATTAAACAACTGCAGGTCGCAAAGGCTTTCTCAAATTTAAAACTATCAGCCCCAAAACTAATCTGTCGGCCTCGGGCCCGAATCACTTTCGAACGTTGTGCCTAATCCACTTCTCTCTGGCCGAAAAGTAGACAGTTCCCGTCACATCAGAAAGTATATGTATATACATTGCAGCTTTCAATAGCAAAAGAATTTTGTATGAACTTATGTTGCATTAGATATAATTCTTTCTATACAGATTCTACAAGCACATTGTCTTTGTTTGTGTTATCTTTTAGGGAATAATTTCTTGCTTTGAATATTATGCTTTAAATTTGTAAATTATGTTGATTTGGCGGAGTGCGAGTTTCATCTTAAGGTCTGTAACATTGTTCAGGTTTGCTGAGTCAGCTAGAAATGAAATGTCAGAGACAGTGAAAATGCCACCCGCTGTGTTGAAACAATTCTTAAATGTTGTTCTTAACTTGTAAGTATCAGCATCTCTACACTGTACTCAAAATTTAAACACATAGACAAAATCAATGTGTACGTAACCGTGTTACTCGATTGCATCGTCCATCACCTGACTGTTTGTCCCGATGGCAGGGAGAAAATTAGCTGTATGGCTTAAGCTGTTAGCGTTTACTAACCATCTGTAATTCTTGAGCCCTCTCAGTGGCAAGTACAATATGCACATGGACTGTTTCACTGTTTCTGAATATGTAAAACTACTGAACCCACTAGACCGAATCCATCTGGTTCAGCTGACAAACATTTCCTTAAGTAAAGATGATTAGAATTTTGAATAAAACATAAATATCTATACGTTAATACAAAGCATGCGAAACACTGCCTTGTTACGACTGTACGCAAGTAAACAACTGCCGGCGTTCCTCTCATGTCGACTCGTGAACATCCGGGTTGGAATTGGTCTTCAGTAACCCATGCTTGTCGTAAGAGGCGACTAACGGAATCGGGTAGTCAGGTTCGCTGACTTGGTTGACACACCTCATCGTATCACAATTGCGTAGATCGATGCTCATGCTGTTGATCACTGGATTGGTGCAGACTCGATTATTTACAGACTGTAATATTGCTGATTGCGGCGTAAAACTAAACTCACTCACTCACCCTCAGCTAAAATGTAAAGGCCTACAATTTTATCCCTATGCCTACAGTTGTGCTGCCCTTGACGCTATCAGTGTACTAGTATTCTGCTGAGTTTCAGACGCTGTGAAGTATGTGCCAATATGACATGAGTGATTACACAAAAGGCTTATTAATCCATAAAACCATAAATATAAAAGATACTGTAACGGAAGGCATACTTCAGCTACAAACAACCTTATCATAAAACATCTGGCTGAACAAAGATTGCGTGCGTGCATGTAGGAAGCACATACGGGTCCTCTCACTTGAAATAAGAAGTAGGCTTCTAGATTTCCACGGTGGTTGAGTGGGCCAGATAGCGGACTATGTGTGCTTGCAACTAGGTGCCTCAGTGTGAGTGTGGGGGTCAGAATCCCGGAGGATACTCAACGCAACAGTAATAGAATTTGTAGCTATATCAAGAAAGTCTAATCCCGAATATACTATTTGATTCTTGTCCATGTGTGGTTTCTAAAACCTCCGAACATTACACTGATAATTCAAGGGTTGTCAAATTATCAAGACTGTAAACGACGAATGACAACTTGTGGTCACGTATCGTTAACGAAAGCGTCAAATGTATCAAAGCTATCATTACGACGAAACAGTTCACACAGAAAGGAATTGATATTATTCTTGACGTACAGTTGACGCAATAACATAAAAAACATCAATTCTCTAGCTTCATGTCACTCTCGAAATTTGAGACTCCAAGTTCTGAATAAAAATGTCCATATCACGTTCATGCAGTATATATTGAACGTTCAAACCAATAGCCATCCTCAAACGACACTGAAAACCAACTCAAACAAGAAAGTCCAAATTTGTACCTTTTCGCGAAGGACGATACTAGTTATATCGAATTGTCCATGTTTCGATGAATATACGCAATGAACCCTACTGGCGATATTTGATTTCCAGTTTCCCGAGAGGATACCAAAAGAATGATATTGTCCATGATACTGTTGATACTTGAATACCCATCTGTCGGACCCAAAGAAGCAACCTACTATCTCAAATCCCGATAAGTATAGTTAACAGCTACAACAATGACCATTGACCAGTGTGTCTGTCAAGTTAACACAACTCCATGTCTTGTCATTTGAAAGCGACGCGGAAGTTTACACGAATCTACCTTTAGTTAATCCGATTTGATTCTGAAATGACAATGATTTGAAGAAATTACATTATGAAAACTGAGGGACTTGACATGGGACACAAGACTAGCACCATTGCTACCACCACGCACCATACATGCACAGGCACACACAAACCAAATTGCTTCAGGAAGTATGTTACACCCTCCCCACATGTACGCTATATAACACGGAATGAAAAACTAGGATCGTTACAATAAAGTTTCCGTACGAGTTGAACCCAGTTAGTTCTATGTTTAGGCATATACATGTGTACTTCTTTGGACAATATGGGATATGTATCCCTCGTCGCTATCACAACAACTATTTTCTATTTGACGCAAGGTAAGCCATATTTTCAAAACTCGTAAACTGATTTGAAAAGGTAGATCTATGTACTTTTGTTACGCAGATGTTTTTGCAGGATTGTATGTGATGTAGATCTGGTGAATATATTCTGTTTAGAGACAGACACGAGGCATAACCTCCAAAGTGTCCACTGCAATTCACAGGCTCTCAGATGCTTTCCCACAAATGACATAAAGAACATCATCACCCGACTCTGGAACCAAACCTAAATTTTGGTTTGGATGATGAAGATAACTTGACACACACACGCTCACAGCAGAACCCAGATTTAGAACCCATGTGTCGGTAAAGCATTATTACAACAATGATGTTTGTGATCAATATAATCACTTTTAAATAGCGGTAACCATACGTGTCTTCAGTGTGCGAAATAGCCATTGAACCGCTAGCCCATGGCTAGTAAAAATCCAGTCGGGCCAATAAATCTCCACGGTCACTGACCCGAGTGGCTAGTAAATTTTCATGGGGTCATTTGTAAATATGTCAGTCTCTCCAAATTGCTAAGTTATAATACACTTGTAAGTCATGCAAAATTGTGGCAAAAATAAATAAATTATATTAGCAGCTTAATGATGAAACCCGTGTCGTGCCGACAATATCTCCTTTATTTTTGTAATCGTTCGCATTCGGGCTAGTGAATTATTTTGTGGGCTAGTAATTTTCAGGCATAGCTACCCTGACTGGAGAGCAAAATTTGGAAACTATTTCGCACACTACGTGTCTTTGACACAAAGCACCAACAACCACCCTACACATTTGTCAATGACTGTAGTCACTGTGTTAAACAATGTACACAAAATTACTCCATGGCAAAGAGATTTAGTCCTGTCATACAAGGGACCTCTCCATGATAACTCAAAGTTTCTTCTTATGTAACTATTAACCAATACCAAATTATCTTTATCAAATTTATATATTTCATAATAATTCATTCTGGATAAATAGTGAATGGTTATTTTTTATTTCATTGCAGCAATATCTTTCTGTTCTTTCAATGCTACAAATGTGCACTGCCTCCCGTGCAGTGACATCTGCATATCAAACACGAAGCCCTGTTTTATGTGTCCAGTCAACTGTGACCATTCCTGCGAGTCTGTGTGCAGTCCGTTTTGCCTTCACGGAACATGTCATTACCAGCAAGGACAACTCATGTGCTCTAAGGGATGCCAAGATGGGCGAGCAGGAATATCTTGTCAAGAGTTCTGCCCGCAAGACTGCCAAATCTGTGATCAGTTTACATCAAAATGCAAAGAAGTTAAATGGAGTCCTCCAAAAGTAGCTGCATCATCTGGTACGTCATTCTAGTAGCCAAAGAATAATCCGATGTAGATAATGTATTGTCGTAAACTAGCAACGTCATAATTCTATTGCGTCAGGTTTTACACCGTTTATATTTACAAAATCGTTTCATTATAAACTCACCGGAACATATGCTTCACAACACTGTAAGGAGCAAGAAATACGTTACCATAACTGTTTAATTGACATTCTTAAGCTAGAGAATGGTATAAGAATCTGGACATTGTCTGGACACGCACAATGCATATCACTGTTTAGGGTATTTCTATTTGTGATATTTGTTTGAAAAACTGCAATTCAGAATATTTTGCTTTAACCTTTTGATGACGATATATTGTTGTTTTGTGATTACATACTCCATATATTACATATACCGTAATTACATAGTACGCCATTGTTTGTTGAGTGATGTTATATATTGTCAGATTGTGATACTTGTATCCGAAGGCATGTTTCGCTGAATAACATAAACAGATTTGGGGTTGTTTATCTTTTTACTTTATATGCCAGAGTTGACTGTACTTGATATACTTCAGGTCTCATGCAAATCTGTTTGTTCGGAGGCTAATTAATCTAAATCGTCTGCAAAATAGTGAGTGAGTGAGTTTGGTTTTACGCCGCTTTTAGCAATATTCCAGCAATATAACGGCGAGGGACACCAGAAATGGGCTTCACACATTGTACCCAGGTAGGGAATCGAACCCGGGTCTTCAGCGTGACGAGCGAAAGCCTTAACCACTAGGCTACCCCACCGCCGCCCGTCACCAAAATAGATACACTTCTGTAATTTGAAACGGTTGAACCACCAAGAAAAGAGATAAATGTGAGGATAATGTGTACATCCTTATTTCCCCCAGAACACCGATGGCTGGTGATCGGCCCTGTGTTGGCTGTCATTGTTCTTCTGATAACCACTGCTGGGGTTTGTTACAAGCGAAGGCGAGTACTCGGATGTCTCAACAGGTAAAGTATATATACTATTCCAAAAAAAGAAACGCATAACCCAGAAATCTGTTGCGAAAATGTTGTATTTCCAACCATGTACAACTCGTCCACAAATAGATTTTGGTACATGAATTTTTATATCAGTTTGGAAGAAGGTAATGTCTATACAACCAAGTGGATGATTTTAAATAACGGAGACGTTGAGCGCGATGGTGACCACGTAGCATGGTCCCGACGTCGGGTCTCCTGGCTCTTAGTCCAATCTCTCTCAACCTGTTCCGTACAGTTTGACCGGATATCCTCCGAAGTCCAGGCACCCTGGCTGCTCTGCTCTCACCCGTGGCAGTACAATCACGTAAATATAGTACCCGGATGTACCGCTCTTGGGCGGCAGTGGTGACTCGAGGTCTGTCTGTACGGGGACGGTCATTTGTTATACCTGTTTGGTTGTAACGAGCTGCAAGCAGTGATATCGGGCTCAGGCTAACATTCAGACGCCTGGCTCTCACCCGTAGCAGCACGATCACGCAAATGTAGTAACCGGATGAACCGATCTTGGGCTACAGTGGTGACTCGAGGTCTGCCTGTATGGTGAGGGTAATTTGTTATACCTGTTTGTTTGTAACGTGCTCAGACTAACATTCAGACGCCTGGCAACAGAAAATTGGTAATCTCAAGCGTGCATTCTTTCAATAGCGATGTTCCGTGTCGCAGCGTCAAGACGTGGCGTAGTGATTTGAACTTGAAACTCCTTCACAACGAATGCCGATTTCCGAAAGTAATTTAGATTTTTATAGCCAGACAGTGCATGCTCTTTGCTGCACAATTTCAAATGGAAGGTGATTTCTTTTGCGTTGTGGCGATACTTTTTAATTCTTGTAAGAAATCTCATCAAAATGAACATTTTCAGGCGAAGGCGATTTTTCACTTGTGCAGTTGTGTAAAATCATATTATCAACACTTTCGTTACATATTTTGACGATTGTTTGAACACAATTGGTAACTGATAGATTAAAAAAAATACAAAATGTCTATGCGTTTCTTTTTCGGATAGTATATTACCTAACTGGTGCAATCTATATAATACTATCTTGCAGTTGACAATTCTGTCTACGTCATCCCAATGTTTAATTTGTTAACACAGGGTGTTCAGCGAGGTATTGCAGTCATATCAATCAACGTAAAGTATGTCAGCTGAATAAATTTATTGTATGTGTTTCTTTTAGAAGCATCCACTCTATTGTTCTGCAGCCTGGAAGTGAAACATATTCCCATTGTACCCACAAGTATTATTTTTAGCAATAGATACTTCCACATTGGCATCAAGAGGTAAACACCGGAAGCTCCACGGTGACTGGTCTTCTTGTTGTTATGTCCTGTTGTGTCTTTAGAAAAGGAAATGAAACAAACCGAACCAACAGCCTGTGTTACAGGGAGAGTCATTGGTAGAGTCAGTACCAGTACTGAAATATTTTTATATAGTGACATTCGACCTATTATAATTTGTTGAATCTTTTATGGCGCGTCTTGAGTTAATACTACAATAATATGTAAAACCTTGAATATTAATGAATTATGAGAAGATGTATTTATTATAGGCCACTGACCTTTCAAACACGTCACATCCGTGAGGAGTCTGGACACAGGCCTGCAGTGGAGGTAGAGGTCCCGGGCAATATATACGTTGACAGTGTGCAGATGTCTTGCAATCCGGATCAGGGGCCGGTGTATGCCATTCCTGACTCCATCCAGATCAGAGAAGACAAGGAGAAGTACAAGTATCTGACGCCAATTCCGCAGAATCTGTACTGAGAAAACCCCCTGCTGTTCACACGAAATGTTACGGGTTGACATACACTTGCCTCTTTAGTTCACTTTAGATAATTTGGCTAATAATATACCTGTGAACCTATACCATGTTTTCTATTTTTACCTTATTCTTATTTAACCTGAAATCATGGGGTCTATTCCAGATTCGGACTCATCATGTTTCGAAGTTGTGTCAAGACCATACCCGCGCTCTTGAGTTCTTTTCTATGAAATACAGCTGTATGATGTTCTTTGTAAACAAATTGTGTCTGAACCAGACAATCCAGTGATTGTCACCATGCGATACGATGACAGACCATGTGTTTATGAAAAACGGCGTTTAACCACGCTCAGTTGCACATCTCCAACAGGAAATTGGCCCACATGTATGCGTGCGTGCGTGTGTGCGTGTGTACGTGCGTGCGTGCGTGCGTGTGTGTGTGTCTGATGACACTCATTTAGACCTATTAATACAGATCAACTGAGATGAGGTTAAATAGCACTTAAATAGCAACCTGTCTGTGAGTCATAAACCAACACATGCCGCAGTGTAACATAGATGCCACAATGAATAGCCCTAAGTCATTCTACTTAAAAATTACCGTCAGACAGGACACGAAACATATATAATCTTATATATAGATATCATAATAACGTCTTTTACTCTCCCCTTGACCACTCAGGCAGTAAATACCTGTGATACCAGATAAAACAATAACAGAACTACAGATTAACTGTACATCAATTTAGCAACTGAATTTATATTATATAAAACTTTCCAAGGCAATTTAGCTCTCCACACCTTTTGAATCGTAGAATATTTG